TACCTCATCTTGGCCAGAGTAGCTGCCTGATTGGTCTATTCAGTTTAAATCTTCATCAGTCTCCAACAGCCCACTACCTCTCCCCTAAATCTCACTAGATGACTACACTAACTGTTTTCCAAATGAGGAAGAGAGAGAGAAAGAGAGAATCTACTGAGTCAAAACTTTATCCTCCCTTCCTTTTCATTTAACTGTTGCCTCATAACAAATCACTCCAACACTTAGTGGCTTACACCAACAAAGATTATAATTTCTCAAGATTTTGAGGATTGAATGGGTATTTCCTTGTGGACTGGGCTCATTCATTTATTTGGAGTCATCTGGTACCTCACCTGGGACTATAGGGTCCAAGCAGGCTTAACTCACATATTGCAGGCTTGACTCACATATCCAGCAGTTTGTGCCATTAGCTAAATCATCAATTCTCCTTCACATGGTTTCTTATTCTCCATTAGGCTAGATTAGGCATCTTCACCCATGGTTGTCTCAAATTTACGAGAAAGGTAAAATGGAATCTGTAAGGCCTTTTAAGGCCTAGATTCAGTGGTCATAGTGTCATTTTTGCTGCATTATTTATCAAAACAAACTCCAGATTCACTGGGTGGAAAAGTAGATTCTGCCTCTTGAAACAATGAGGGTCAAAGTCATGTTGCAAAAGTATACACAATTCCACAGTTACAAACTTCTCAATACTGGGCCATTCAGCACCCTGCCTAGGGAACTGTTGCCCTTCCTCATCATTAAGATAAACCTGTCCTTCTGGACTCACCCTGTCTACCTGCTCAGGAATTCTATTCCCTATCCTGTGGCACTGACTTTTCTCTTGTTATTGGTTCTTTCCCACCATCACTTAACCATATGCAGTTACCTCCATGATAAATTTTAACTTGCCTCAAACTCTTAATGGTTTCCTAGTGCCCTGGTGGGGAGGGAGGAAGTTCACATTTATTAACATGGTCGCATCTCCCTCATTTTTAGCCAAGTTACTTGAAATGAAGTCTATTGTAAATGAATGGCTCCCATTCTCATCTCCTAGTCTTTATAGTCTTTTCTTATTTGGCTTTTGTGACACCACCGTTTCCTGGTTCACTCTCTCCCTCTCTGATCATTTCTACCTAGTTTTCTTCCTTGGCTCATGGAAACTTTGTGTTACTTTCCCTACAAATTTCAGCAGTCAGTTCTCTTCTTACTCTACATTCTTTCCAGGTGGTAATATTTTCTCTTAGGGCCTCAACTATGCTCATAACATGCTCATACGTGTTCTACGTGATTCTGAGATATTCCCCAGCAAGACTGAACCTAGTTGTCTGCCTGTTAACCCATAATCAATGCACTCCTTTTTGACCCTTCTTCCTTTCCTTTATTATTTTCCTCTTTTCCACACATGTACATACTTAGAAGTGCCTCCAAAAAACTACCTGTACCAAAGTTTTTGTCTCAGATCTACTTTTGGGGAAACCTAAATCAAGACAGCTTATGTTCTAAATAAATTTATTAGATTGGCTGTTTCATCTTCTACTTCTTTTACTCAAATCCTCATCTGGATTACTTTGAGAAGTCATACCTTTTCCCTCTGATCTAAATTTGTTCCCCTCCAATTTATTCATGACACTACAAGCAAATAAACTTTATAAATCAAAGCAATGATCATGTTACCACTCCTCTTTTTTTTTTTTGAGTTGGAGTCTCACTCTGCTGCCCAGACTGGAGTGCAATGGCCACCCGTTGGGCTCATGCAGGCAATCCACCCACCTTGGCATCCCAAAACACTGGGATTACAGGCTGAGCTACCGAGCCCGGCCACCACTCCACCACTACTCTTTTTTTTTTTTTTTTTTGAGTTGGAGTCTCACTCTGTCACCCAGACTGGAGTGTAGTGGCCGCTCCCGGCCACCGCAGCCTCGACCTTCTGGGCTCCAGCGATCCTTCCGCCTCAGCCTTCCGAGTAACTGTAATTACAGGCACGCACTACCTCACCTGGCTGATTTTTTATTTATTGTAGAGATGAGGTCTCGCCAAGTTGCCCAGGCGGGTCTCAAACCCACGGGCTCAGACAATTCACTCACCTCAGCCTCCCAAGGCACGGGATTACAGGCTGAACCACTGAGCCCGGCTACCACTCCTCTTAATAGCTTCAGTGGTTCTTAATTTCCTTGTCCATATAATAAATCCAAAGTTCTTGAAGTGGACTATGAGAGATCAGAATCTTCATTTGAGTTTTTTTAAGTATAGATTACTAGAAATATGAATTATTTGTTAAAAAGCTTGAACATTGTTATAGTTCTTTGTGAACATGAGAAATTTTTTCCAAAGGCATTATATTGTGACTATTTTTTAGGGAGTTTGTTCAATAACTAAATATTTACAATTATTGTAAATGATTGTTACCTCTCCAGCCTCGGCTTCTACCCCAGCTATACTAAGCTACTTGCCTTTATAAATGAATGCTGTTCTCTCTTGCTTCTAAGACTTTGCTGAAGTTGTATCAAGTTCAGAATTATTCAATATTGTAATAGTACGTTTATAGTTTTGCTTTCCCACAACCTAAAGATTGTGTTTTATTCATTTTATATCTTCAGGATCTGCCATAAATGCCCAGCATGTACTTAGTAAATATTAATTAATCTAATTGGCCTCAAGTTAAATACCTTCAATAATTGTAGGCTCACTTCTTTTCTCTAAACTGTTTTTGACTATAAAACTAATTTATTGTCATATTATTTAAAAACTTTGAAAATATTGACAAGAAACTTAATCTTAATATAATTTGTGTTTTTGATGTATTCCATGTAACATGTTTTATATAGTTTGTTAGTTGCTTAATTATCTGAAACAAAGATATAATAAAAAGAACTAACATTTAATAGCATAAATTATGAGCCAAATGCTGTTTTAAGTATTTTATACAAATTAACTCATTTAATTTTCTTGATCATTCTGTGAAATAGGTACTTTTATCCATTTTATAAATAAAAAAACTAAGGCACAGATAGGGTCATTGACTTCTGGATCATACAACTAAGTGGTAAAGCCATGAAATCTGGCACCAAAGCTTATGTTATATTTCATAGAGGGGATTAAATTATTTAAAACATGGAAAGAACTTTAACAGTTTCTGGCACACTGTATAAACTCAATAAATGCTAGCTATTATTATTGTTACTATTGTAATGAATTATTATTGTTACTATAGTAATTTGGTGTCTTTCACTTTAAATTAGGTCACAGGTTTTTACTAAATTAGGTGGGTTTTTCACTTTGAAATAGGTCATAAATAATTTCGCATCCTACCATGCAATTTCATTAACTATTGTCTTTTAAAACTCTACAATATTCTGTAGAATAGTTCTGTAGTAACTAATTAGGTTTTGTTTCATAGTTGTATATAATACTATGTGCATTGTCTTTATGCATTAAGGTTTTTTCCCCTTATTTTAGTTCACTTTTTAATAGATTCCCAGAAGTAAGAAATAAAGAGTTTGAACATTTTTATAGTTCTTTGTGAACATCAGAAATTTATTTCCAAAGGCATTATATTATAACTATATTTTAGAGTCTGTTCAGTAGCTCATTATTTACAATTGCTATAACACTATTTCCATTACTACTACTTTGCCCAAAGAACCTACACAAAATAAATTCCATTCTTTTTATATGACAGACTTTCAAATATTTAATTTTTAAAAAATGTATGCCAGATTCACTTGCACCTCAATACAACTTCTGAACTCTCCTTCAAACATTCTTTCTCCATGCCAAACATCCTCAACTTTCCCTTGAGTATATTTTGTCTGACAAAATTACCCGGCTCTTAATCATCTGAGTCATACTCTCCTAAATACATTCCATTGTGCCTATGTCCTTCTTAATTTGGAGATTCCAGACATGATCTGACCAGCACAGAGGAGCAATCGCTTTTTTGGACCAGGAGATCTATTTCCAGCAATGCAGCCTAAGGTCATATTAGCATTTTTGGCACTAAAATACACTGTCGTCTCATGTTTATGTGCTGTCAGCTAAATCCCCCATGCCTTTTTCACACGCGCTCTAAGTGAGGTCTCCCACATCCTATACTGATATAAATAATAGTATGCAGTTAAATGAAGTTATTTATATAAATTTGTATTAAACTGTATGTATGTTTACTGTTCCAGAATGTTGGGATACATCTGTATTCCCAAATATGTATATGGATGTACCTGATAAGTATTCTTATGCTTTCTGTATCTTTACTGAAGTCATTAATAAAGTTGTAATCTAACACAATCCCAAGTGCAGAGTCTTATAGTACATAATTAGAGTTCTTTGGGATATAGCTATTTAGCTGGTGATAATTCTGCAACTATGAATCTACCCAGTTATCTTAACTCAACCATACTCTTCCATCCTATTCCTGAAGATATCATGAGATACTTGCTGGAACTAAAGTCAATCAAGATTATACTTTCTCCCATTAATTATGATTAGAGTGGCTTTATAATACTGTCTTAAATGATAGTAAGTGATTTTAACCTAGATCTCATAACTATCCTTATTTTCTAAGTGCTTATAGACTAGCACATTCTAACATTAAATCTTATGCTGATCCAATGCTTATATTTTCTGACATCTCTATTAAATTGTCAGTTTCTTATGGGAAAAAAGTAATTTATACTCCCATGTGTGCTTTGTAAACTAACACAGTAGCACTCTTAGCCAATAATTAGTGTTTATTTCAGCATCCAAATAAAAAATGCGATAAAGTGATAGATAAAATGATAAAGCAAAATCTCTACTATCTCTGTTCTCTCTATATATATATATATATTTAATTCACATCAATTTGATGATTGGAAAAGAACTTTACTTATTTTTAGATTACATTAAATTATATACTTAGTATGATTATCTGATGTTGTCTATGAGAACTACTATCTATTATCTTAGAATTAGTCAAAAAATAAACAAAATAAATTGTTTCTTCTTGCTCAAAAATGTTAACTGACTTATTTAACTTTCAGGGTGCTTATTGGTTCTCCTTTAGTTGGCCAACCCAAAAACAGAACTGGAGATGTCTATAAGTGTCCAGTTGGAAGAGGCGAACCATTACCTTGCATAAAGTTGGATCTACCAGGTATATATGTAAAATCAAAAAATCTGATCTTAAATTTTGTCCAGTATTTTCACTGAAAACACATCTTAGTCAACTAAAGAGAATATTAGACATAATCTATAATTATTTCTCAGTTATTATCCAAATTCACATAGAATGACATTTTGATTCCCTTAATTAGGGAAAATGGCAGCAGCTGCAAAATGAGGGGGATGGGGATATCTTAGAAAAAGACCCACAAAGGAACAGTTCTAACATATGCATATATATTTTGTCCAAATATCTGGACCACCTGAACAGTCAGTGTGCAGAGCAGACTTCAAGCAGCACAGCAGAAACAAAAAGAACTGAACTGAGATTTTAACTTTGACTTTCTTACAGTGGGAAGCAGTTAAATCTCAGTTCAGTTCTTTTTGTTTCTGCTGGGCCATTTGAAGTCTGCTCTGGATTAATTTGTGTCACAGAGTCATCATGGAGGAGCCATAGATTTAGAGTCTCTTACTAGTTTTATAAATTTTAACTCCCTCCATTGTTCTGAATCCTTTGTAAACCAGTGGTAACATGAAATAACTTTTCCAAATAAACCTGCTTATCACATTTCCTCCAAAAGATTCAACTTTACTGCCTGGTTTTTAAGAGGAAATAGAATAAGAAAAATCATAATAGATACTTTAAATTTTTAAAAAGAGAATTACACAAAGATAAATTTTATTGAAATGTACATATTTGATGAATATATCACAGTAGTTTGAACATGACTAGAAAATTTCTACTGGAATTATTTAGGAATCAGAACTTTGTCAGTGTTCTGTAAAATATTAAATACCTTAAAAATGATCTAATAAAATGATCTAATAAACCTAATAAAATGTTCCACAAGTTTATTTCAGATATTGTGTTTTTCAGTTATCTCTTTTCAATTTCCTGTTCATTTATCATAAACATTTTTTTCACATTCACGAGCATAGTATAACAACTGCTTTAATAACTTTGCCTGATAATGCCAACATCTGGAATATCTCAATGTCATTTTACATTCATTACCTTTTCTTGAAGTTGGGTCACATTGTCCTGTTTCTACTTATGTGTATTAATTTTTATGTGGATTATATTTTTGGATTATAACTATGAAAAGTCTGGATTCTGTTATGTACTTGTAAACTTTTTCTTTTTCTTTCTTTCCTTCTTTTTTTCTTTGTCTTTTTTTGTATTGGGCAATTCACTTGTTTCAACTCAGTTTCCAAACTTTGACTTTCTTACAGTGGGAAGCAGTTAAAATCTCAATTCAGTTCTTTTTGTTTCTGCTGGGCTGTTTGAAGTCTGCTCTGCACGTTGACTGTTCAGGTGATCCAGATATTTGGACAAAATATATATGCATATGTTCAAACTGTTCCTTTGTGGGTCTTTTTCTAAGATATCCCCACCCCCCTCATTTTGCAGCTGCTGCCATTTCCCCTAATTTCTGTTTTCTTTTTTCTTCAAGACAGTAAGGCTAGTTCTATTTGAGTTTTAGCCACTGTCTAGGGTCTTTCCTCAGGGGAAAACACAAAAACAAGGAAACTCACCCAGTGCCAATCTCTTCTTTCAAGTTTGAATTCCTTTCCAGTTTCTGCTTGCTTTTGATTGCCTTCTAGTGATGGTTATTTTATACATTTTTTTCTTTTTTCTGGAATGTACGGTGGTTATTTGAAAAACAATTGTTCTGATAGAAGATAATTCTCCATTGCTGAAAACTGAAATAGAGTTTTAGAATAGAGGTTTTTAATTAATAGGGTTTTTATTACACATCAAGAACAGTAGGGAAGTTTTTACTATAGTCCCTATTTGTCCCAGGAATGCTGATCCTGGTCAACTCTTCTATTAAAAAAATTCTAACCCAGATTATTCAATATCAATGTATATAATAGCCCATTTCCAAGTGTGTTTTCAAAGCAAGCCAGATTGAACTCTTGGACAAAGAGCAATACTCAGATCAAGAAGTCAAAGTGACCAAACCAAATCTCTACTTCTATTTCCCACTATATTTATTCTTTGTTTTTTATTATAAAGATGTGGGGTACAGTTCAGGATTAAGTACATAAGTGATCATCGTACAGGTGAAGTTTGGGCCTTCCATTGGCCCCCACTTTGCCTGGTTTGGGATTAGGTACCCTTATTGATGTTATGTGCCTCCCCTTCCCCTGGCAGTGTCCTACTACTGCCAATCTCTTTTATATAGTATTATGATAAATGTTCAGGGTCTACTTATCCATGAGAACATAGGATACTGAGTTCTTTATTTCCTACTTTAAATCTCCACATAATCTTAGAGTGAGAAAAACTTTTAGGCCTGTACAGTGAGGTAAATCTTGCTGAACTTGATTTTTGTGACTTCTACTATTTCAGCACACTACTTAACAGTGTTTGGAAGTTTTCGTTCTTCCTGTCCAATCTTTTTTTTTAATGTAATTGAGACTTCTTGCCAGTATCATCACAGATGAGCATGCTTCGTGCTTTGGGACCCAACATTCCTATTGGGAATGCCAAATGTAGTTTCTTCATTTGTATTTCCTCTCTTCATTGTGTTTCCTTTATTCAGACTTCCTAGCCACTGCTCTGATCTTGCTACAGTTTTCATTGTAACCCTCATGATGCTCCATGATTTTGGAAATGGTGGTCAAACACTTGTGTTTGAGTTTTCTTTTTGGTCTTCTACACATTTTCCCTTTTCTTTCTAGAAATCATGTTTTTATTATTAGTCATTGATAAGAAATACATAAGATTACATTATACTATAATTATATAGGATTGTTTATTATATGAAATTATACATAACATATAATTATTATTTATTATTATATGACAAATATATAAGATGGCATTATACTACAATATTTTGAAATTAAAAATTTATTTGTTTTAATGAGCTAGTTCTGCATTCTTTCTCAGTTCAGCAGAACTATCTAAAACAGTATCCACACAAAGGTTCTGGGACATAAGCCAGTTCTTCAGCCTTAACTTGTTTGTTATATTCCTTAATAACACTTGAAAGACTATTTAGTGGAAAAAAAAGAAGAATGTGCTATGATGTGAGCCAATCAATAGAATGTATTAATGAGAAGACACTATTAAGAACACTTAATTTCACTTGTGAAATTTTTTTCACACTCATGCAATTTTGTTCTATTATTTTAGTTAACACATCAATTCCCAATGTCACAGAAGTAAAAGAAAACATGACGTTTGGATCAACTTTAGTCACCAACCCAAACGGAGGGTTTCTGGTAAGAATGGAAAGAATGATATTTAATAACTACAGGCATGCTAGCATTTTAAGTCTTTATAAGATCTGTTACATAATTTTCAGCTTTATGTTTCTTAATTTTTTTTAAAAGGCATGTGGGCCCTTATATGCCTATAGATGTGGACATTTGCATTATACAACTGGCATCTGTTCTAATGTCAGCGCCACATTTCAAGTCATGAACTCCATTGCCCCGGTACAAGGTACAGATTTTATGCAATATTCCTGCATGTTTGAAAAACATAAGCAATGAATGAGACATATGTATACACAGGAGCATACCAGAAAGCTTAAAGTATTTTCTCAGCTACCAGCATTACCAATTTAGGTAAATGTTTGCTTTGCCAGTATATAATCAAACCTCACTGCTATTTTTGGAATTGATATTAGTGTAAATAACCTTTTCAGAGTCATGTTTAAATTTCATAGATAAAGCTGTCATGTTGCTTTTATTTAAAGGCTGAGTCTCTTTGAGGAAAGAAGCAACTTCATTGGAGACATGAACAGAATAAGAACTGTAATATAAAATTCATATTAAGATTTCTAAATATAACTTTCATACAACATTAATTAAAATATAGATTGGTTTTACTTGATATGAACCCCAAACCAATTGTTGTTTAATGCAATGAGTATTTTTATCACGTTTACTTTTTCTAAAACTATTTTTTATTATAAAAACAATGTGTCCTCTTTGTAAAACATCAAGTATATATTTTTTAATGAGTTTTGTTCAGCCATGAAAACACTTCATATACCTCTAAAAAGATGGATTACAAATTTGTGTAATTGTCTCTTTGCATTATAGAGTGCAGCACTCAGCTGGACATAGTCATAGTACTGGATGGTTCCAATAGCATTTACCCCTGGCAAAGTGTCACAGCTTTTTTAAATGACCTTCTTGAAAGAATGGATATTGGTCCTAAACAGACACAGGTATGTGACTCTGCATTTTGACTTCTGTTGTTCTAAAGATAAAAATTCACAAACTTTAATGAAACCAAATATCCTGAAAATAAATTAAGCAATAAAACTAGAATCAATGGTGAATTTTATATCCCATATCCTTGTTCTTATTTCTGATAAAAAGGACATTACTTCAGATCATGTTATTTTCTGAACAGAAAATATTATGAAAGCTGGCATTTTCAATGCTCTTAGAAAGTAACCCTAGTAGATATCTATAAACTCATAATTTAATTCTTAATTATAAAATAAGTGTAGCCACTTTTAGTCATATCAGATCAGTATGCAGGAATTAATTTGGCATCCCAAAGAACCCATCAAATTATAGTCTCCTCTCTCATATTATGTAAATACATTAGATAACTGACCATAGGATATTGTTTAAAGTCTATTTCTCCTATATTAATAATTTTTTTTTTTTTGAGTTAGAGTCTCACTCTGTTGCCCAGACCAGAGTGCAGTGGCCACTCCCGGCCACCGCAGCCTCGACCTGCTGGGCTCTTGCGATCCTTCCCCCTCAGCCTTCTAAGTAGCTGGAACTACAGGCGCGTGCTACCACGCCCAGCTAATTTTTGATTTATTTATTTTCTGAAGTAAAAAGCAAATGGTGCAGGCTCTAACTACATAAAGCCAAATAGTTGCTTGCTTTTTGTTTGTTTGTTTTTTCTCCCCATGAGTATCTGTTTCTAAACACACTCCATTTATAACCACTAAATGAAGTAGGACTTCTCACACAGCTTTTCAACTTTAGATGCTGAGGATTTTAATTTAATTATGGTTAATTAATACATTTAATTAATTTAATGTTTATTAAACTTATATGGTCATATGACTTAAAATATAGAGCAGATATAATGAATAGCAGGCAAATAAAATGTCAACGTAAAGTCAGTGCCATGAGGGCTAGACTGACCACTAGAATCGGAGTCTAAAAGTTGTTGTGTGGTTTAGGAACTATAGCAGAGCATAGGAGACTTTAAGACCGTACATGCAGCCCAGTGATCTTCCTTTCCCTTTCTGAGAACTCTACTCTTGGAGAAATCTTTGAAGGACTGAAAAAGCGGTCTGACTGACTGCAACAATGTTTGTCACACCCACATTAAAATGGGGACATTTGATACATACATATATCCATATATGCATATATGTGCCTGTATATGTATTTATATCTCTTTCTATATATTTTTAATATGTATGTTAATATATGTAATTTTCCAAAAGGATAGTGCTAGAAAATTTCAAATTCAAATTCAAAATGAAATGTCATATTGCTGTGTTCCAAGCCTGAATAGATCTCTCTCTATAGAGAGCTAGTTGGGGGATAAGGTAATGTATATCCCACTGCACAGTCATGAGCTTCTTGAAATCAGTGTAAAATCATTTAAAGGAAATGAGCTTTTGCATACCACAAAATGCAAATTTTGCTGGATGTGACTTTTTATCTGCAATTGACCTCCTCAAGTGAAATCACTAGAGGTTTGGAGAGGACATCATCTCTCTTCCTGCTACAGAGCATAAGGCAGTCTGCATTTTAACAGACCATTCCAGAATTATTTCCTATTCTTCCTTCTGTAACATGTCCCACACAGACCCTTTTTTCCCCTTTTGAAGATTTTTCTCCTTTCCTCTTTTCCTTTCTTCCCCTATCCTTGCTCTTCTTTTAAGAGTCTTAAAATTAAAACTGGGGCCGGGGACAGTGGCTCAAGCCTGTAATCCCCACACTTTGGGAGGCCGAGGGGAGAGGACTTCCTGAGTCCGCAGGTTCAAGACCAGCTTTGACTTCATCTCTACAATAAATCAAAAATTAGCCAGGCATGGTAACACACACCTGTAGTTCCGGCTACTTGGAAGGCTGAGGCAGAAGGATCGCCTGAGCACAGCAGGTCGATGTTGGGGATGCTGGAGTGGCCATGAGCGTACCACTGCACTCCAGCCTGGGCAACGGAGTGAGATTCCAACCTAAAAAAAAAAATCAAAACTGGAAGGAATCTTAAAGGTCCTTGAACCCCAAACCTCAATTATGAAGGGGTTATGAGAAGCTAAATGAGTTGTTCAAGGTCACCTTGCTTGTTGATGGCAGATCAGAAAACTCAACTCTCCAATTGTAGTCCATTTGTGTGGGGAATTTTTTGTGTTTGTTTGTTTTGCTTTCTGAGAGCTCTACTTCTGGAGAAATTTCAGAGCTGGTCCCATCTAATGCCCCCAAATAGGTCTCGATCCTCTTTCCATCTCATCATGACTGTCCTTGTTCTTCCTTGGCTGGAACCACGCAAGTCTTCTCAGTACTCCATTACCTGCACTGATATACCTAAGATGAAGTTACTTGCTCATAGTTCTTCCTCTCTCCAGTTTTCCCCATGATGTGCTTTTCTTCCTTAAGCTGGTTTTGGCCATAGAATTTTACCTTCTTATCCAGTTCTTTCTTTTCAAAGTTAATAATATGCTTGGACTATTTTTTTTAATTGTCTTATATCTTGTAGTCATCTAAATATTTAAATCACTTATCTATTTTACTCCCCCAAATTAATTTATTGGTCGCTATTTATTAAAAACAGTGCAGTTGTGATATGTTTGAAGTTGCTCTATAAGACAACTTTATTTTTTGTTTTGTTTTGTTTCTTTGTCTGTTTTTGTTTTTGAGTTGGGGGCTCTCTCTATTGCCCAGGCTGGAGTGCAGTGGCACAATCCCAACTCACTTCAGCCTTCACCTCTTGGACTCAGAAGATCCTTCTGCCTCAGCCCCCCAAGTAGATGGGAATGCAGGCACATACCACCATACCTGGCTATTTTTTTTTTACTTTTTGTAGAGACAAGGCCTTGCTATGTTACCTAGGTATCTATCTCCTGGGTTCAAGCAATCTCCCCACCTCAGCCTCCCAAAGTGCTGAGATTACAGACATGAGCTACCACACCCAGCCCCATAAGACTATTTTAGAATAATAACCACTAATTCAGTGAAGATTTGTGCCAGTAACTCAATTTTTAAAGAAATAGCAATAAATTGCTTATATGCTTATCTCATTCTACTGCAGTTTTAACTTTTTTTTTTTTACTGTTAGAACTATAATAATTTACTTTTCTGTATTAAGAGCTCTAAAGAAGAGCTCTTCTGCCTGTCTACTGGAGGGATTCTAGACTGCCAAGGTGGGCATCATGGAGTTGTATGTTTTTCCTGGAGGGAACAATGACTGTATTCAGAGGAATGTGGGCCAGCCCTCAGGGTCCAGATGCTACTAGTGAATAGAAGGGAAATGGACTTACCCTGAGACAGAAGAGTCCAACCATATTTACTCAGTTCCAAGACCTTATTCCACAGAGTGGAACATTTCTGAATGTAACACTGCATACAATGTCATTTGTAGTATCTTCTGATTTCACCCAAAGGATTCTGCTCTTTAAAGAGAGAAGCCAATTATATTTCTGAATTTTTTTAATATACATCTTGGTTGCATCATTCATTGTGAAATTAACCAAAGGCATCTGTTCATTTATTCAGATGTATGTACTAAAAGCTTACTGTGTACCAGGCTCTGTGCTAGTGCTTGGGTAACAGTGCACAATAAGACAAACATGGCCTCTGCCTTAATGGTGCTTCTGTTTAAAACAGTGTATCTCTAAATATAGCTCATGAAATTCCTGCTTCTGAGTCCCTGAAGTGCTTGGACTATACCCCAGACTTTCGGAATCAGAATCTCTGAGGACAGGGCTATAGAGCTTGCATTTTAAATAAACAACCCCATGATTCCTAAATGGATTAAAGTTTGAGAAACATTGAACTAATATATTATTATATTGATTGTGTGTATTTGTATGTTTGTCAGTGTTTGCTGCATACTCAAGATTATTAGCACCTCAAGAGCAAGGCTATATCATCTTATCTTTGTCAATGGTCAGCTATGACATAATGAACCCTCAATGAGCACTTACTGAATAAATGTATATATCATAATGATGCAGTAGTGTATTTTGTTCTGATCAGTGTACATTTAATGAGAATTTTTCTATACCTAGCACTTTTTATATTCACCTTAGTATATTACTTTATACTTTAGTTTTTATACTTTAATTTCCTCTAGTCATTTCATATTTTGGCTTCATCTGTATCAGAGTAGTTTCATAAATAATTCTATAAAATAAAGGGATTGAGAATAACATGTTTACTAAGCCATTGCTTTTGCTAAATTACATTTAATAGAGTTTTAATTATAACACATTTAAACTCCTTTCAAAGTTTTATCTTTCTTCAGTGAATTCAGAAAAGAAATTAATTCACAGAAAATTTGAAAAGATACTTCCTCTTCAAAGAAATGTGTACTGAAAATCATGCCTATCATTTATGTGGTATTCCAGTAATTTTTTTTTAAACAATCTGTTTTTCTTGACAATAATTTTTTTCTGATTAGTTGCTAATGTAATTTAAATGTTTAATTTTTGTTTCTTTTTAATTTTAATTAAATTCTACCCTAAGATTGGAAGAATTGGCTATTAGCATTTTTCCTGCCATGTACTTATCCTCTCTATTACCTTTCCTGAAAGGAACAGATATAAAAATGAATTATGAGAGAGATTATCCAGAAGAAGGTGCAAAGATAGAAGCTAAGGGCTGGATAAAGAACTCTCAAACCTCTCATTCATATCAAACCTAGACAAGATTAAGAAAGTAGTTGATAGGGTTTGTGAAGAGGATTTATCTGTAGAAAGAACCTACTGAGAAAGGCTTCAGTGAAATCAATGATGCTCTTGGTATGTGTTTACTGGAGTTAGGACACACAGTTGACTAATGCCTAACTCCTGCCTGCAAATAACTAAAGGCCATGACAGCAGCTGTGATACGTAGCTGTTGACAAGCAAGTCAGAGCACAGTAGCTACACTAGTATCAGCCTCCAATCCCAAAGATTGTTAGAACACAGATGTGTGTGTTTCCCATGGATTAGCATGGGTCACTCTAAACCGAGAGCCAGCAGGCAGTCATATTAGGGCCTTCCCTTACAGTCTCCTGGAAGTGACTGGATGCTTCTGCAGAGAAAGCATTAGTCCTCTGTACTTCTTAAGGACTG